ACCAGTGCTTTTGAGGTTAGGACCCTCTGTGAGTCCATGGAATTAGTGTGCTTTTGGGGGGTGGCTAGAGTGAGGAGTCCCCAGACTTGGGAGTGGTTGCCCTTGGAGGGACCCAAGCCCAGGGCTAAATGAGAGGCTGAGGGACTTGGGAAGAGGCCAGGGCTGATCCAGGTAAACTGGAGTATCCTGGGGAATAGCCCACATCTAAGGATGCTCTACTCTGAGCAGCTCTTTCAGGATGAGTTCAGGGACTGAGACAAGAATCAGCATTCTGGCTGCTGGCAGAGTCTGTCCTCTGGCAGCAATTAATAAAGTAGGATCTGGTTTATTCATCAGTTTCTTCTGAGTCTGGTTGCCTTGAGTCAGCCCGGGATGCGTGGACCAGACCATGAAACCCAGGGATCTGTCTGAAGGCTGCCCACTTCTCTCCCTATCAATTTATCACCCTCATTTTTACTTCAGCACTCAGACACCTGGAGGCACAGCTGTAGCCTCATGATGTATTACAATTTAACACTGAGGAAGGCAGGATAATACCAAGTTTTGTCTACTCGTACTATGTGGGATTCCCAACACCCCCATTTGGAAGTCTGGGAACTTCTGTTAAAAACCAGAAGTAAAAATTTTGAGTCTGTCCCTGGAACTAAAAATAAACGTAGGCTAGTGTCCAGGAACAGGGAACAGTTAAGAACTGGAGGGGAGCCTCCAGTCTTGCTTCCGTTCAGTCTGTCTCCCTCGATGAAGCCAGAGGCAGCATTCTAAAAGGCAGGCCTCACTGGGCCACTCTCCTGCTTAACACTCTTCTGATCAGAGTCCACCCTCTCACACGGCCCATGACGTCCTGCAGGACTGGCTCAAGGCTACCTTTCCGCTTCAGGCCTGTCTGCCACTCCTCCTCCTCTTGAATTCGGCATGTGAGCCTCTTCCCTCTGCTTTGCTTTTGCTTGTCTCTGGGCCTTTGCACATGGTCCCCCTGCCTGGACCACTCTTCCATCAACCCTTACCATCTCTTTGCCCAGCTAACTGCTGTTCATATTTCAGATCTCAGCTGAAATCCTCACCCACAGACTCAATTAAATCCTCCCTGGAAATTCTCCTACTTCCATGAACAATACTCAGCACATGCTCTGTTATTTATTGGTTTCAGTGCTTGCTCTCCACGTCCATGCTGGCAGGGACTATATCTGCTGTGTTCACCACTGACTCTCAAGTTCCTTTTTTAAAAAATCGTTTTTAATTTAGCTTTTATTAAAGTTATATGAGCACATAGTTGAGAGAATCACAGTTCTACAAGGCCTATAACCCCCATTACATTTCCTGCTCCCCAGAGGCAACACTTTGTAACTTTTTTTTTTAAATCTGCTCTCCTTGGCTTTCTCTCTCTCTCTCTCTTTTTTTTTTTATGAGGAAGATTGGCCCTGAGCTCACATCTGTTGCCATTCTTCCTCTTTTTTTCTTCTCCTCAAAGCCCCAGTACATAGTTGTGTATTCTAGTTGCAAGTCGTTCTGTTTCCTCCATGTGGGATGCTGCCACAGCATGGCTTGATGAGCCAAGTGTAGGTCTTCTCTGAACCCATGAACCCCGGGCTGCTGAAGTGGAATGTGTGAACTTAACCACTTGGCCACAGGGTCGGCCCCCACTTTTTAACTTTTAACTGATTTTTGTTGTTGTTGTTGTTTTTGAGGAAGCTTCTCCCTAACATCTGTTGCCAGTCTTCCTCTTTTTTAGCTTGAGAAAGATTCGGCCTGAGCTAATGTCCATGCCAGTCTTCCTCTATTTTTATATGGGTCACCGCTACAGCATGGCCACCAAAAAGTGGTGTAGGTCCATGCTGGGGAACCAAGCCCGGGCCGCTGAAGTAGAGCGTGCTGAACTTAACCACTAGGCCATGGGGCCGGCCCCATCTGATTATTTTTGTATTTACCTTTATATTTTTAATTAACATGCACATACTGCTATGTCTTGATTCTTCGGTTTTAAGCATCTACTGATCTCCCACGATGGATGATGAGTATTTAGGTCTCTTGCACACCCTCCCCTTCTCCCTGTTACACATGCACACATCCCGTCCTCCTTTCATTTCCTCCTATGGTTTTGTACTTTCAGTTAGATCAGCATTCATTGTCTACATTATAATTATGCCAATATTATTCACAGCTGAGCCATATGATTTTCCATACTAACTTCTTTGCTATACATCATTTTGTTTTCCCAGCGGTCAATAAATATCTGTGACTATTTACTTACTTTTTCTATGTATTTATCACTAATTTATCTCAAAACATTCCTGAAACTATGAATCTTTCTTTTCTGTATGTTTAAACACATTCTTAATTTCATCTTAAAGAATTCTCTTGAAGCCTCTGGCTGCTCCAATCTGGGCTGGTTGACGCCCAGCCCTGTGGCACAGGGACCTCTGTCCCCTTCACCCTAGGGACCCTTATCACCTCTCTCCAGGCTGCATCCACCCTTTCCTGGAACCTGTGTCCTCTGCGTTTGATTTAAACCCTTCTTCTCGTGGTGTCCTCCTCCAGCAGCCTCCTGAGAAAGAGATGGTGGGAGTCTGCATGTCTGAAAGAGTCTTTCATCAACCCTTATACCTGACTGATACTTCAGCGGGAACCAGACTTCTAGGTGGGGGTGATTTTCCCTCAGGATGTGGAAGGGTTTGCTCTGTTCCCTTGCAGCTCCCACAGTTGCTGTGGGAAAGTCTGATGCCTTTCAGATTCCTGATCCTTTATAATGAAACTTGCTCTGTTAACCTTGAGGATCTACTCTTGGTCCCAGCGGTCTGATGTGCCTGGGGGCTGGTCCATGTTCATTCACTGTACTGGGCACTGGTGGGTCCTTTAAATCCAAAACTCCTCTCCTTTGGTTCTGGAAAATGTTATTGAATTATTATTGTCCATTTTCTCTGCTCTAACTTTATGGAGGTCTTCTTATTCTCTTGGACTATTCTTTTTCTGTCATTTTCCATCTCTTTGTCTTTTGGCTGTATTTCCTGTGAGATTTTCTTTTCTTTAACTCTTCTATTGAATTTTTAATTTTTTGCTGTCATATTATTTAATGTCCAAAGTGATACACACACACATAAATAAATAAATATAATTTTCAGTATTTCCCCTGCTCTCAACTGTGCCTAGTCATCCCTAGCTAAGAGACCTTCTGTTTTACCTTCTCCAGAGACTGAAATTCCAGTCTCAGGGGATGGGCATGAGAGGGAATCCAGGGCTCCAATTGCTTCTTGAAAAGACTTTCAGTTGATTTTCTTTTTTTTAATTCTTGTCTCCAACCCCACTTCTAGTGTGCTTGCTCCTGCCCGTTCTGGAGCCTTTCTATGATATATGCTAGCTTGCATTTCAGCCTTTCCCTAGGCCAGCTTAGAGTTCAGCTGTCTTGAATCTCCTGTCAGTAGCCACTTGCCCATTTGGTTTCCTGCTTCCAACATGTTGTTGCTGTGGTCTCCTTTCCCATTCTTTGTCCCAGTGGTTTTATGCCCTTGAAAGAATAAATCCCTGTAATTGTCATTTCACTGGGATTTGGGGAGAGAGCAGAGGCCAGAGCCTACATCCACCATTCAACTTGTCCTCTTTAACTGGCACTCTATCTCCTAGCATAGGAGCATAGCACGTCTCATAGCCAGTTCCTAGCATATTGCTTAGCACATAAGTGCACAATAAATATTTGTTGGTTGAATAAAGTATTAATTAGAGTCATTACCTTTCCCATCTTTGGTAACCAAAAGGTGAGGGCCCTTTAAGTTGAAATCTCCTTAGTTATGGAGTTTACTGCTTCTCAGCTTGGAGTTCACAAGCCCATCTGAATTATGTATTAGACAACATTGTGTAGTGAAAAAGTTGGAACCTGGGCTCTGCTCACCAGATAATTGTGTGGCCTTGGACAAGCTACCTCCACCCTGGAGCCTTACTTTCCTCTTCTGTAAAATGGGAACAATAATACCTTTCTTCAAAGCCTAGAGCAGGGACGCTCTCGATATTTGTGGTATTTGTGGAAGGGTTCAACATCAAAGTGCCAATTCTTAGAAAGTTAGTGTTTTACTTAAGCTTAAAATTAGCCTTCACACTTGAATTGCAAATTGGTCCCTAATTATTGCCCTTCAGGGCACAATCTGTTTAACCTGACTTGATGCTTAGAGCGAAACCTTTTCAGCCGAGAGGAAACTAACGTCAGTCACCAGGGGTCTACTGTGTGCTCGCGCCCCTCCTCGGTCAGGCCGTGGATCCAGGACTTACACTGGGAGTTATTCACAAATATTTACTGTGTGACCCGGTACTGAGCGACCCCACTCACCCGGACTCCTCACCCCTGCCTGGCTCCGCCCCTGGCCTCAGATCTGGTTTGTTGCAAGGCGCCCAGGGTGGGAATCCAGACACTTAGCCCCCTCTTGTCAAACAGTCCGAGTCAGGCCCACTCTGGGCCATGCAATGTTCCTAGGACGAGGGTCACACAGCCCATCTTGGTCTTCAGGAGCATGTCCCCCAGGCTACCTGCAGAGGCCCCCAACAGGAGAAACTGAGGCTGCGCCCTGGGAAAGCAACTCCAGGCCCCTTAGCTCCCACCCTCCCCACAGCTCCCATTCCTCCCGGTCCCCACGACCCCCTTTCGCGGACCCCCGCTCTCGCTCGCCGGTATCGCCACGCGCGGAGCCGCGGCCCGGCCCTGCGCGCGGGCAGGTGAGGGCGGGGCCGGAGGGGACGGCGCCCCGCCCCGCCCTCCCGAGGCCCCGCGCCGCCGGCCGCCGCCCCCGCCTCGCCCGGGCCGCGGAGCGCCGCCGAGCGGCCGGCGGGCGGGCTCTCGCTCCGCCCCCTCCCGGCCCGCCGCGCCGGCTCCCGCCTCCTTCCCCCTCCGCCCGCTCCCGCCTCCCTCCCTTTCCGCTGCCGAGGCGGCGGGAGCCGAGCCCGAGCGGACCGAGCCGCGGCCGCAGCCGGGCGGCGGGCGCAGCGGGGGCGGCGGCGGCGGCGGGGCGGGCCGCGGCGGGCAGTCGGGTGGCGGCGGCGGCGATGCGGCGGCCCCGCTGAGCCCGCCAGCTCCGGGCGCCGGGGGCCGGCCGCGCGAGGCGGCCCGGGCCGGGCGGCAGCATGCGGGGCGGCGAGGAGCTGGACGGCTTCGAGGGCGAGGCCTCGAGCACCTCCATGATCTCGGGCGCCAGCAGCCCGTACCAGCCCACCACCGAGCCGGTGAGCCAGCGCCGCGGGCTGGCTGGCCTGCGCTGCGACCCCGACTACCTGCGTGGCGCGCTCGGCTGCCTCAAGGTCGCCCAAGTGGTAGGTGCTGGGCGGGGCCCCAGGTGCCGGCGGGCGGCCTAGCCGCGCGCCTTCCCTCCCCACTCCCGCTTCGGGGGCGCAGGCCTGGCCGGCCTCCGCCGCGCACCCGCTTCCCGCGCCAGACCCCCGCGCCTCGCGCCCCCTCTCCCTCGCGGGTCCCCAGGCCGCCCTCCCGCCTCCCCCTGGGGACCTTGCTCTCTGCAGCCCTACCGCCTCAGGTGTGCACCTCCCACCTGGACACCTGCCCTGGGGCCTACCTGTCCACTCCCGCCTTCGCCATCGCGAGCCTGTTTCATTATTGGGCTTGGTGGTCCGCGGAGCCCGGCGCGGGGGTCATGCTGTCCCCAGGGTACCTCTGGTCATGGCAACTTGTGGCAGATTTTCGGGCCCGCACAGGCTCCATCCTCCCGTCGGTCCTTGTCTGTCTCTGCTTTCAGCACTGGTCACTGTGGTTTGGTTTCCTCCCTGGCGCCTGGCAGAGTGCTGGCATATGGTAGACGTTCAATAAATGTTGGTTGAACGGAGGCATGTAGCCTAGGTGCAGTGGGGAAGCTCAGATCTGGCCAAAAAGCCTCCAATTTATACTGCAGAGGCTTGATTCCTCTTAACCTAGAAGACAGAACCAGCATCCCTGAATCCTCCTCAGCACGGTGCTGGCATTGCCCAATTGGTACCCAGAGTTAAATCACTCTGGGAGGGCAGCCAGTTTTGGAGGTAACAGAAACAGAGAACTTTCTGTTGGGCTTGTCTATAGTAGAGCTCATTTCTCAGAATTCTTATTTTTAGTTTCCAGGGTGTTCAGGACAGGGGCCTGTCAGCTCTGCCCCTCTTTTGTGGTTTCGTAACAGGCCACTCTGGGCAGTTGCTTAGCTCTGTTGTGGACGGGGCATGCTCCAGTTCAGAAAAAACTGTGTCTGGATATTCGCTGTCACAGGTAGGCCTTCCTCTGAGGCCTGGCAGCAAAACTTTATAGACTTCTCGGCCAGAGAAGCCATTTGCACCGAGCTGCAGTGTATGTGCATTCTGTCTCTTCCAAGCATTGGGCTGCTTGTGCTTACTTGAGTACATAGGTAAACATTCCTTGGGAATAATATAATATGTGGACGCTTTAAATAAAGGTCTCAGTGTTTGTAAATTGCAGAATCATAGACTCTTTTATCTTTCTCTTGGGTGAAAGGCTTGTTCTGCTGATTGCCAGAGGGTATTTTTGAAGGGCTCTAAAGAAAGACAAATGGTGCAGGTTCTCCCTCTCTGGAATTTTAAACTGACCTTATCTGGTAAACTGGAATGTTCTCAGAGGTACATTGGTTCTGTAGTTAGGTATTGCTATTAGCAGAGAATGGAAGAGGTGGGGGAGGTGGATGACTGCTTTTTAAAAGAGGCAGCCTAGCCAATGTTTGCAGACGGCACAGATAATCAGAAATGAATAAGAAAGAGCAGGGCATGAACTTGGACCCAGGGGGAATAGAGGCCCTGGTGAAGTACCTTGTTTTGTTTACTCTGTGGACTTTTGAAAGTAAATAGAACTTGCTCACTCAGAGGATCTGGTAAAAGAATTGAAAGCCAGTAGTTTGTATAAAATGTTAATTATTACATCATTGCTGGCACTTTGTCACCTAAGGCCAGAAATGGAAGCCAGTGGTATTTATCATTGCCTTCTGGTAAGGTGCTGTTTTGTTATAGAGTTTTACTTTTCATCTGGAAGAACTTTGGGGCCCAGCCCCTAAAATCTTGTCTAACTCTGCCATTTGTCTAATTTCCAGAATTTAAACAGGAAGAGATAATGCTTGGGTGAGTGAAGGAAAGGGACCTACTTGAAGGGTATGGATGGCAACTCGAAACAGCCTTCCATGTACTTGGCTTCTCAGCCATGATAAAAATCGGGGTGTTTATGGGGGAAAAAACCCCACAAAACTCCAAGAAATTGGACTCTATACAAGAAGTCGTTAAGATATTTTTGACATGTTACAAAGCTCAGGATCCCATCAAGAAATATGGAAAATATAAGTTCTAATTCTTATGTTATTAGATAATATAATTCTTATAGTAGAACTTATATTATGGTTGACTTATGGTTTTTGAGAAAATTTTGACTTTTTTCATTTCAGTTTTGGTAGACATTTTTGGTGGCCTGTGGCTGGCCTGTGATAACCTGTAGGTCCTTGCTGCTTCAAGTGCTGTCCGTTGAACAGCGGCCTCGCCAGCACCCGAGAGCTTGGTAGAACCATGGAGGCCTCACCTCAGGCCTTTTGAATCATAATCTGCATTTTTAACAAGATTCCAGGTGATTTATTTGCACATTAAAGTTCTAGACTTGCATTTCTATCAGTTTAATATTAAAACCTCATATAGGTGCTAGCAATCACTTCTCTATCAGAACCGTTAAGAGTCCACCTCAAGGCTAAGGTTTTTCTGTAAAATGAGCTGGTACCTCCGTCAGAGGATTAAGAGAATGAGGTAATATGTAGAAATTAGCACCTAGCTTATTAGGTACTTAGTGTGTAATAAAGATTAGCTATCACTGTTGCTAATTAATATTTCCTGTTTCTAAAGAAACTTGGCGAAAATTCCACCCCTAAACTATAATTATACATTTGAATTAATGACAGTTTACTTCCTAGTGATTTAAAAGTTAAATTGATATTTTAAATGGCATATTATTTGATAGTAAAACTAACCTGAAATATTATGAAAATTAATCAGTGCATTTTCATACGTTATATCTTTTGAAAATAAAACTCATACATCTCTCTTAGTTGGGGAGAATGTCTCCTGTGGTTCTATCAAACAATAAAAATGTACTCTTGGTGGAAGGAGAGTTGGTTTAAACTACTGATTTGAGTTACCTTCTTCCTTAGGGTGCGGATCCTGTGAGAGGTTATTGTTTTTTAGCTCCCAGACATCATTTAATGAAGTAGTTAATGGAGACCTTTTGCTGTTCCTTATTGTTTTGTTGCATCAACCTGGCTGAAAGCAGAGTTTCGCTCTTGGGATGGGGGAGGGGATGTCATGATTTAAGGGCAGTGTCAGAAGAGGACAGGCCCTGGATTGGACAAGACTTTCTGAACAATGACAGCAACAGGCATCGTTTAGTGAGTGCTTACTCTACTGTCGTCACCCCCATTTTATGAATGAGAAAATTGAGGCACAGAGATGTGACTTGTTCACGGTCACCTGGCTGGCGTGTGGTGGAGCTTGGGTTTGAACCTAGGCAGTCTAGTGTCAGGGTGTGCTCTTTACTACCTCCTGAACACATCATTTGGAGTTGTTCCACATAGTGGAGCTGGAGACCTTGAGTCCAAGGACATTTTTGTGGTCTTTGGGCAGCCTGGCGATCTTTTGGGTGACTTTTACTGCTGAAGTGATAGACTGACAAGAGCTTTGATTTCTCAGTGGCCTTGTGCGGTTCCTAGGTGTGCAGCTAGTGTGTGGTGGCCTGCTCCTCTCCCAAGGGACCTGCCCACTTCCCTTCCCAGGGAGGAGGTGGGCCTTCTCAAAAGTGCCAGGAACAGGGGGCCGGCCCAGTGGCACTGCACTTAAGTTTGCACGTTCTGCTTTGGCAGCCTGGGGTTCGCCAGTTCAGATCCCGAGTGCGGACCTACACACTGCTTGTCAAGCCACGCTGTGGCAGGCGTCCCATGTATAAAGCAGAGGAAGATGGGCACAGATGTTAGCTCAGGGCCAGTCTTCCTCAGCAAAAAGAGGAGGATTGGCGGCAAATGTTAGCTCAGGTCTAATCTTCCTCAAAAATAGATAAATAAATTAAAAAAAAATTTTTTTTAAGTGCCAAGAACAGAAGCAGCATTTCAGTTCCCAAAAGAACCCTAGGGAGGTCTTTTGCTTCAGATCCCTTTCTTGAGCGCCTCCCATGCCTGATTGACCTTTGGACATTGCCTTGCATTTATTTATTTAGAAATTTTTATAAGAAAGTTGGGTAGTAGATATTTAAATTCAAATTGTAGTTCCTCTGATTTCCTTGAAATCTCTTAACCCCATCATGTCTTGGCTTCCTCAATAGTAGAATGTGGGTGATAATGACTGAGCATTTTAGGAATTGTAAGAATTAAAGGGTTAATGTGTGATAGGTGCTATCTGAGGTAACTCAATGATAGATGTGAATATTTGCATTCAGGGTTGGGTAATATATCTTTGATTTGCTGGAAACCTTGTCAGTTTTTCATTTCAAGCCAGTCGGCACAGCGTCATGTCTCTGTTCTCCGGCGTGTGCTGGGGCGGGGCGGGGCCGGGCATGGAGCTGATGGCAGGTGAGATAGTAGGTTTCACTGCGTTGAATTCTCAGGTCTACCTGAAAGTGCCTCCTTATAAAACAGTCTCATTTTCCCTTAGGAAGATTATTGTTATCTTTGGAAGTTGTCTTCCTGGTCAAGAACTTGGAATTAAATAAATTCTAGCAGAAAAGCAAAGATGAAACCCCTCATAAGTTGTTATGATGATTAAAAATTGTAAAATTATCCACAACCTCAGAAAAGTGTCTAGTACACGTCTGTTTTACAAAAACAGACAAAGACAGTTCGAGAAACGACTATTAGCAATCATCTTCATGAACACAGACACAGAAATCCTCAACTAGATACTAGGGAATCAAATCCAGCAGTATTAGGTAAAAAGAATAGTACACCACAACCAGTTAAGATTTATCCCGGGAACGAAAGACTCGTTCCGTTTTCCAAAATCAATAGGTGTAATCCACCATATTAACAGCTTAAAGAAGGAAAAAACACGTGATTCTGTCAATGGATGCAGGAAAAACATTTGATGAAATTTAACATTCATTCATGATAAATGCTGCCAGCAAACTAGGAAGAGAAGGGAACTTCCTCACCCAAAAAAGGGCATCTACCGAAAGTCTTCAGCTGACATACTTAGTGGTGAAAGAATGAATGCTTTCCCCCTAAGATGGGGAACAAGGCAATGATGTCTACTCTGACCACTCACATTCAGCATCCTGCTGAAAGTGCTGACCAGCACAAGGAAAATGA